AATATTGATTATTGAGCATTGTTCTGTATTAATTAAATGAGAAAAGTAGTTTCTTTTTAAGTTAGACACACATTTCTTCTTTTTTATTTCAACTCTTGCTTAGAATTGATGGATTGGATAACCAAAAGTAAAAAAAGGAATCATCGCCAAAACCTCCCCAAACAGGAGAAAAGTAATCAAACAAACAACGCCAACTATCACTTTCTTTGGCAACATGCCTTTAATGCGTCCTTATCGGTCATTAAACACAAGAAGAAACTTTAGGACAAGCCACTTACGCTGGACTTTTGCTTTTTTTGTTGTTGCTTTTTCTTCATTCATTTACTTTTTCTCATAGAAAGTTCTGGAAAAATATACCTTAAGCCAATCTCTGATCGGAAGCCATGTGTCCGCCATCAATGTCAGCTCGAATGGTCAGGCGCCCAATGGACGAATCATCTTTTGGTCAAGTGATTTCAAGGGCTGAGAGGTTTATATGGACTACTAATGGACTCTTAAGATGAGGGATCTTTTGCATTTATCTTAGGGTGGACATAAAAAGGTTGGGTGACAAGTGATTGGATTCGATCAAAAGAGCGTCTTTGTGCAGTCAGTACTTTACGTAATTTATTCTTTTATTAACAAGACATGGGTTGAAAGAATTAACTGACTAGTGCAAATCGTCCTTTTAAAGGAATGGTTCTAAAAACATTTAAGAAATTTATTTTTTAGATAATTTTACTCAAATATCTAAGCTATAAGTGGTACCACGTGTGAGATACTATGTTGAGGACATGTTGAATGCCAAGAATATAGATATTAATTCGTAAGGGAAGATTAAAAAATTCGAATCAGGTGTTAAAAGGGTTTATCTTTTAGACATTTTTACTCAAAAATCTAAACTATTTAAATGGTATTACGTATAGGACACCACGAAGACGCATATGTAATGTCAAGTATGTAGAACTAACTTACTATAGTTACACAATCTCTGTGAGAAGGTACTATAATGTCTATAGTCCTTTTTTAGGGACAATTCAAGAAACGTATCAGACTCTCAAGGGTAATTTTTATTAGGATAATTATACTTTATGAATGACATCGCGTATAAGATACACAGGTTGAAGACGTGATGATTGTCAAGATTATACGTTAATTCACTAATGCCCGCCATTAGTCATTAGTGCCTGAAGTCAGAAGATAAAGGGTTAAGGTTTTAGACATTTTTACTTAAGTGCCTAAACTTTATAATAGTATCACGTGTCTGATTCCATTTCCGGATTTAACTCAGTCGATAATTATTTAAAGAGTTATTCTTATTTAATTCGCAATTGTCAAATAAATCTAAAAAAATTTTAAAATTAATATTCATTAAATAATACTGTGGTCGAATTTTTCGACTTCTCTTAAGATATATGTATAGTCCCTAGCTAGAAAAAAATAATCTTGATGCAGTCGCAAACAGGGTTCTCGAAAATGTTCCAAAAAAGAACAACAAGGGAAGACAATGGAACAAACAAAATTGTACTGCATGCCTTCTAGCGAGCCCATTTCTTCCACTAGAAACGTCACGTCATGTTTTTGAGTGATATACACAGACTTAAGTCACGTGACGAGGCGATAAAACGTTACAATCACGAGTAGACATGCGAATATCATGTTTACACTTTCGCCAAGATCACGTGATATCATTATGTCACGCTACGTAGTAACTTAGTGTCACATTTCTCACCAGGTTTGACACGCGTAGCTCTCATAAAACAGAAAATATGAGATAAGGTATGTAACAACAAGAGATAAGATTTTGTCATGCGAAAAGTTATTTTTTCAGTTTTTATCTTCTTTTGTCTTTTTTTTTCTTTGCTATGTAAGATGGCATTGGTTTAATATAATATTTTTCATCAATTCTTTTACTATTCTTATAATTTATCTATACATGATTTTATACACGCATTTATGCTAGATAATGGTAGTCATTGCTGTTACAAGTAATTATTGAGAATTAATTCAAGTAACTATAAACACCTATTTATGAATTACGGCTAATAACTATGAATAATAAGCAACAATGTGTTCAGAAAATCTATCATAATTAGCATTTTAAATTACTATTTAAAAAAAAAACGTCTAAAAAGTTTACATTTTCGCTTTTTTAAGTTTTCGAAAATAGTACCTTTTGATACATTTTTTACTTAATTTTGATTATGAGAGTTTTTATGAAAATGCTTGAACTTCAAGAAATTTTATGTGAAGCATTATTTTTATGGTTTGGTTTGGGTTATAACTGCTAATATTACGTTTATATATTAAGTTCAGGGAAATTTTATTTGCAATATTAAGAAGTATTATGTTAAATCAACTTCTAGCGCATTTCTTTAAAAAAATAATTAATGACAAGAGTTTAATGAGCAAGCATTAAACGTTTTACAAAACGTTTATGGCAATTTTATTTGTAGTATTATAAAGTACTAACTCAATTTTCATAAAAAAGGACTAACTTAAGTCATTAAAAAGATTAACTCAATTTTCAGCGCATTTTTTAAAATAACTAACGGAAAAGAGTTTATCACAATAATTAAAAGTTTAGTTATCATTAAAAAAGTTTAATTATTAGAATTATTACTAAAATTTTATTTTATCAAATATATTCATATATAAAAATATATTTACCAACTAAACAGACCTTTTTGTGGTGCACTGATGTGTAAAAAGCTTTTATAAATCATGTGGATATTTTTCCTTCTAAGGTAACCTTTTAGATTAAAAAATATATTTGCAATTATTGATACAAATTTAAAGAGTTTCATTAGTAATATATCACGGTAGATAGACATGTTTTGCTCCTCATATTTATTACGTGGTTCCATATTTATTACATTCATAGATTATACCATAGTGGTATAATCTATGAATGTAATAAATATGAAACCGTTTTAATGCTTTTGGAGGAAGGAAAAAGAATGGCAAATTTTTTGGCCGAGAGGCTATAATAGATCAATCTAATATAATTTTTTTTCCATAAAAATAGAACTTTATAACATTTTATTAAACTGTTTATAATTAATTTTTAACTTATATCTTAAACATATTAATTTGATGCAATATCTTTTGGAACTATTATAATTACAAACAAAAATTTTCGGCATTCTTCAATTTAAGTATGAATTTTTAGTATGAATTTTCAACCATTCAAAAATAACTCCTTTATTTATTTATTATTATTTTTTTAAGAATTCAATCAAGCCCAAATTTATTCCGATAAATGTATTTTTATCTGAAAATAAATTTAGCTCAGGTTCCATTTAACTCTTCGACTTAAACAGATTACAAGACGCCCAAGAAAATGACATAAATTATCATTTGAACGGAGATAATACATGTACTCAAACCCAACCCTTTAAAAAAAATTAAAGAAACACTGGTTAAAAAACAATATTGTCACAGTTAAAAAAAAATTCTGCTACAATTGAAACTATTACCCAATTTCACCCTCTTCTGCGCTTGTCCCACTTCATCGACTAAGAGTTTAATGAACGAAACGACGACAAAGGAAAAAAATAAAATAATAGGAAATAAAAAGACATAAATTATCAGTCTATTTATCACGAAATAAATTTGAGAAGTAAAAAAATGTATGCATTAGATTGCAATGGTACAAGATATACACATAAAGACACGAAATGACAAAGAACACCCTGCCCTTGTCGAATTGCGCACTTTACAACTGTTACCACCACCCACAGGCTACAGTTCCATTACCTTTCGACGGCCGAGTCGAATCCCATGCAGTGCATCATTTCGAACAACGTGATTTGAACGCAAAGTAACGATTCCCATTAAAAGATGGAAGACCTCGCGTGGGACGACGATGTCGCGTCCCATTACGGTGGACCACAGGGCTCTAGATGTTCCTGGACAACACCCATGTCCAGATTTATAGTCTCTGAAATCGGGGTTGGTAAAAAAAATCCTGGTGACACTGGCGTGCGACCTCTTGCAAACGACACTTCCTCTTTCGAAAAGTGTCTGTCCCATTAGTCGATGTCATGACGTCGTAAAAAAGGTCATTTGAGGAGTAAATAAAATTCGAATGGGAAATTTGAACTCAGATTCCTCGCCTGAAGGCAGATGTTGTGCCCAAATGCGCACAAGTGTCGGATTTTAAATTGACCATTTTGCCCAAATACTGCTTCCTTATTGTAAATCGTCGTAATAACTCTGTGTTTTCCTCTTAGAATAAATAAACCCATTGTAACATCAGATGTTACCCAACTGATCTCGCATGAAAATGCTCTGTTTATTGTTAGTAGCATAAGTGACAGTCTTACGACATACTACGTACAACTCTAAAAACCCGCGCAGAATCGGATCTATTTATTAATAAAAAAATCGAATAGGCGACTGGTAAAAAGATAATTAAGGGATATTAACGTATTACCCTTTTCGAGAGGTGATATTTTTTTATGAAATGGCAGAATTAAACGTTTGCTTGTAATCTCGCCATTACTCCTGATATTGTAGGAAGTTAAAACGTCAGTATAAGCAACAATATACATAGAAATGATCTGATTTATTAATTTTTTTTAGAAAAAAAATAACGGGAAATGATTTTATAGACTTTTTACAACAATTCGCCCATAACTATTTACGATTTTTTCCCAATGAATAAAAATAAAGTTCTGTTCTAAACACTATGAGAAAGAAATGTTTTTTTTATCCATTTCATTCAATATACAATGTTAAAAAAGTGCTTAAACGAATTAAACTTTTTATGCTAATTTAAGCAAATTGTAAAGACGTATAATTAAATTCATTATTTTAAAGAAAACATGTGGTACACATCATACCTTCAGATGTGCCCGATTTTAAGGAATTTCAATTGGTGGAAGTAATAATTTAATTCGATGCGAATCTTTAAGTTAGTTTTATGATTTTTATCTATTCTATATGATTTTAAGTGGGTTTTATGGCCATGGATGTGATTATAATGATAATAAATCAGAGATGATATAAGCACTCACCATGGGCTACCCAGCCATGATGACAGGAATCACAAGATCGAATACTGGGTTTGCTTGGAGTAAATCCTTCACAAGTACAGTTTGGAGCAGTGCAGCGAATGGCCTGAAAAGAAAATGTAATTAAAATATGTATTATAACGTAAAGATAATACGTATATGTACGTATAACTAGAGATATTAACTTAAGGCCTTATATAAAAAGTGGGACTACTATACTTAATAAAAAAATACAGTTAGTCTACCTTTAATGTCCATATAAATCATTTATATCTTATTTTAAAACTTATGTACCTCTAACTTATTTCTTTTGCCAGACCGATGACACAAAAATCAGACCAGATAAGATAAACATTGCACTCATTAAACTTAAAGGTACCTAAAAAAGAAGTATAATTTTTTTTGATTTTGATCCTTATTTAGATTTATGTTACATTCCCAGTTTGGTAGTAGATAAGGTTAGTGAATAAAGGGCTCTTAATATGGATAAAGGGTGTTAGTGGATAAAGGGTTTGTTTGTAGTTAGTGGATAAAGGGCTAATTAAAATTTAAAGTTTCTGCTCCTGAAAACCGAGAAAAGTAGATCTATCCCACTATTCAAATAAGACCTGATATAGAGAAATCACATTTTCAGTTTCTGCAAAATACGAATTGGTTATTGGATAAAAGCTCATTAAAATTAAAGACTTCCGTATCTGAAAACGGACGCAACTTGCAATCACTAACAAAGAAATGAACAATTATAATATAAGTTAATATTAAATGGTTTGGTTTTATATTACCAAAGAGAAGTTTTTTTTTAGCTTTTTCTTCTTACTATTCATGTACTTACTGATGTATCTATTCTGATACATCTAAAAAAATATTGCAAAATAATGTAAGTATCTGTATTTACATGATTGAGCTAAAGTGTAAATAACTGTGTAAATAGCAGAAAAACCAAACAGGACGACAGGATAAACACATTAAAATTCCAAGTGGTCCGGTTCAACACCGAAAAGCAATATTAAAATTCCAATAATGTCTAATAACTAATAAACAATTAAAATTCAGTAACAAAGAATAAACAAACATAAAATTAATTTATATTTTATAATTACCAAAGGGAAGTGTTATTGCCAGGTTTTCTTTTTCATGTTATATCCTTACTGATATATCTATTCCAGATATTAATAATGAATGGTATACGCTAACGCTTGTCTATTATCATTAATAAAGAAAGCGTTCGATCATGTACGTGCCGGTTGATAAAAGTCAGCATCCTGCCTTTAATTTTCTTTCTTAAAAATTACTGAAATTTAACTCGGCAACTTCCGTTTCGGATTTTTAAAGACAGCTAAGCTTATTATACCACGAAAGGTTAGAAAAGGGTTAATTGTTTCGCTAATAGACTGTCGAATTTGATTTTATTGACTTTTTTTTTCTCATTACTTAATAAGTATCCCATATTTTTGATTAACTCTTTTACTTAATCAAAGCCAGCCGTATACCATCTGTCTGCGATTCTGCTGAAATTGGACTTTCTGGTAAATTGATAGCTATTATAAATTATATAAATATACATTAATCTAATTCAATTGAAACAATAAATTTCTTTTATGTTTTTTATTGTTTTCTGTTTTTTTTTTTAATTTAGTAATTTCTTATAGGTTTATTTTTTTTATCTGACATTAAAAAAAAAGTTTGTTGTAAATCCTGCATAAAAATATAACTTACATTATTTATGTTTTTGTTACACTCGATTACACACCTTAAGTTTAAAGGTTTGAAATTTAATACACCTTCAGTTAAAAGGTTTGGAAGTTAGCAACCTTAAGTTGGAAGGTCAGAAAGTTAAAACACCTCAAGTTGAAAGGTTTGAAAAATAACACACCTTAAGTTGAAAGGTTTGAAAAATAACGCACTTTAAGTTGAAAGGTTTGAAAGTTAGCACACCTTAAGTTGTAAAGTGTGAAAGTTTTCACACATTAAATTTAAAGATATGAAAGTTAATACACCTTTAGCTTGAAGGTTTAGAATCGTCAGTTAAAAGGTTTGGAAGTTAGCAGCCTTAAGTTGGAAGGTCAGAAAGTTAACACACCTCAAGTTGAAAGGTTTAAAAAATAACACACCTTAAGTTGGAAGGTTTGAAAGTTAGCACACCTTATGTTGAAAGGTTTGAAAGTTAGCACACCTTATGTTGAAAAGTGTGAAAGTTAACACACATTAAATTTAAAGATATAAAAGTTAATACACCTTTAGTTTGAAGGTTTAGAAGTTAACAAAACCTGAGTTTAAAGGTTTTAAAGTTAACACACCTTAAGTTGAAAGGTTTGGAAGTGAACACATCTTCAGTTGGAAGGTTTGATAGTTAACTTTTCCAAAGTTGAAGGGTTTGCCGAAAATTCTTCCTATATGTATATCTGATTTGTAGATTTTTATTTATTTCTCATTCTTGATAATAGTTAACACATTTTAAATTGAAAGGTTTGCTGAATATCTTCTCCAAAAATTTACAGGAAATTTACGTTTTTAGTTCTCCGTTTTTTCTTCATAAAGATTACGTAAAAAGAAAAACGAAGAGCTGACACCACATACTGCCTACGTCATGCAAGACTTGCACACGTAGAAAAATTTGCATTTATTTTAAACGAGAAAAATCTACGTCCAACGTCGTATAAGGGAAAATATTTAATCTCTGAACTTTTTATGAATAACAACAAATCTCACACCTCTTTAACGCTGAAAAACGAAGAAAAAAATTCCTTGGTCTCGAAAATTTCCCTAAAAAAAAAGAAGAAAGAAACTGTGAATAACGAAACGCGGAAAGATTTTATTTTTGACGAAAACTTCTAAACCCATGAACAACAAGTAGATAAAATAAAAAATAAAAGTAAATGGAACCCCTTGATTTTTAATCCTGGAAAGTCCTTCCATATTCATTGACTTGTCCCGAGAGAAATCCGGAACGCAGATTGCCCCTTACCACAAAAATCCCGGCTAAATAGGAAAAACCTGGAAAAGGGAAAAAGCATAAAAAAGAGACCCTCAATCTCTACCTTTTTCAAAAGTAGGGGAAAAAAGGGAAAATTCTTGGAGAAAATTTTCTCTTTTTCCTGGGCATCTTTTTCTCTCCTATCTTTGAGGTATAATTGTGCTATGGAATCTTCCCTTTTGGTACAGAAAGGCCCAATTCTTTACCACAGACGTGGGAATTAGTCCTTGGGCCTCGTTACGATATCCCTGCTAACCCCCTCTCACCCCCTCGGAACTAACTCCTATAGTCTGTTTTTCCCCCACCGCTCCATGGAGCAGTATGCTTCGCCAGTGCGGAGGCGAGTTCATGCATTATTAAGAAGTGGCACCCCTTTTATTTTATTCCATTCTTTTTTCTTCTTGCTCTTGTTCTTTTTCTGGAAGGATTTGTTTTTGCTTTATTTCTTTTAACTCTCTCTCTCTCTTTTGGTGGTCGGAGTGGAGCGCCACTTTTTGGCGAAATGCGACCTGTTATTTGTGAGCGGGAGCTTGTGTAATTACGTCACGTCAAAATCGTCTGCAAAATTATTGGTGGACACATAAGAATGAGAAGCGTGGATAGAATAATTTATAAATCTTCTGCTCGAACATAAATCATACTATTTTCGGCCATCTTTGTTTATTTTGTAACATTTAATCGAATATAGAATTTTGTTCTATTTTTTGATTTCGTCTGAGAGCCAAAAGCTTGATGGAAATTAAATAATCAAAATCGTTTGGGCGAGAAAAACTGAAACATTTAAACTCTAAAAATATCTGAAAGGCATTTCAGCAACATTAGTTACGAATCAAACGAAAATGAAAGAAAAAGTTTAAAAAAATGTTTGCAGTAGAGTTATTATGAAAACAATATGGCAAATGATTTTCGAAGCTACAAATTATACATTTTATAAAATTTTATTTGTAAATTTGCAAATTCGCAGCTACAAATAATACTATTCAGAAAGATTTCGTCTGTGAAATATTATTTTCCAAATCTGCGAGTAGTGTTATTCATAAGGATTTTGTCTGTAAAATATTAGTTTGTGAAGCTGCGAGTAGTGTTATTCAAAAAGATTTCGTCTGTAAAATTACTACTTTTCGGAGCTACTAATAATATTATTTATAAAGATTTCGTTTTAAAAATATTAGTTTTTGAAGCTAAGAGTATTGTTCATAAAGATTTTGTCTGTTAAATTGCTAGCTCAAAGCTATGAATAAGTCTAAATCTAAAAAAAAAAAAAAAATTTCAAAAATATTATTGTGATCTACAGAACTAAATTGTTTTAAAAACATTAGGACCATCCTAAAAGCAACATAATTTGCAACAAATATTAATATTGCCATAAAAAGTAAAAATATTATTTTTATTCTAAGACGCAGTTTTTCACAAAAATTTTGATAATTGAAATAATTTCAAAAACACCGGTTTATTTTGTGATTATGATGGATGAAACAATCTATGATCTTGACAAGAAATAGAAACAGTAAAAGTTTAATTACCAAATTCGGCCAGATAATAATTTAAAACATTTTTACATAACGGCTACAGTTAAATCATAATGAATTATTTGCTACTTGTGCTAACGGTTAATTAAATAAATTTAAAAATAAACGGAGATTAAAATTAAAAATGACAGTATTGCCTTACACTTTACGTATACTGTTAAAAATTTTGTGTAAGTTAACCATAATGCCGTATTCCCTAAACTTGATTTCACGATGTGGTTACCATGGTTACGATTACTATGGATACGATATACTATGCACTCATTTTAACACCGTATTACGATTGCAGCAAATTGTGGTACAAGGTGATGATACTATGGTTCAACTTGTATCGACAAATGATGCATTTTGAAACTGTAATAAAATTGCAGCAAAAGTTGCACGTTTTATGGTCCGAAGTGTTCATTTTAATTGAATACATTACTTCATTTAGCACCGTATTACTGTTGCAGCAAATTTGCTCCGTATTATGGTTCAAGATATTATGGTTTAAGAAGAATGGATACACGACTCCCTACAACCCCATATTAAAGTCGCAACAAATTCTACGGTTATGCGTGGTTATAGGTGCTGATTTCATGATATAACGTGGTGGAGATTGTT